ATGTTACCGTTGCCATATTTTCAAACTATTATTTATTTTCTTTCAATTACAAAGCAGTTTTACTGCGGTTTATTGTTATTTCACATTTATGTTGTTATAAAGTAACATTACACAAAAAAATCAATAAATAAGATATTGAAAAATATTACAAAATTAAATTACAATAGGGCAACGCACATTACAACTTAAATTACAATCTGGCAATACGAATCCTTTTCAACCACCATTTTTCGAAAATTAGAATCCGCATATGACATTTTTTGCTTCATATTCGTTCAGAATAAGGTGAGAATGTGAAAGCGAAACATTTTTTACATGCGAGATATCTCCCTAGCGAATATCCAGAATAAGGCTGAATAAACAGTTGTTTCATATGCCGTTGTATGTTGCCATATTTTATAACTTTAATTTATTTTATTTTATTTACGAAGTAGTTTTACTGCGGATTCCTTATATTTCACATTTATATTGTTATAAAGTTTAAATGACAATGAAAAGTAACATTAAGTCCTGATTTAGATTAGGCGAGTTTACTTGCGGCAAGTCTTTGTTTGTAGGAGAGAGGGGCAAGGGGAATAGAAATGAAAAAAAAATTCTCGTACCGACAATTTTCTGGCAATTCGTTTTGTGTATTTCGTATTTGTTGACGTTTTATATATATTTAAATGTGAAAAAACAACAAATAGAAACATATTTTGGAAACCGAATTGATTTTCACTTGAAAATTTGCAGGAACATTCTTGAATTAGTGTAGGTTCGAATTAAATCAAAATACAAAATTAAATTTTTTGAAACCGAGAATTACTGAAATGAAGCTCCCATTAAACCAAATAGATAACAGTTTCCAACCAAGGTACAAGTGTGAACCTCTCTAGAGCAATATGACTATTAGGCCTGGGGGGTTACTCTGTATTGCGATGCGTAAGAAAAATTGTATCGCATCGCATAATTGGTACTCTCTAATTCGTTTTCGTATCTCCTTTCGCATCTACTTTACGCAAATGTGGAATCACCGAACTCTGTAATACGAAAACGCATGTCAAATTCGTTCGTTAAACGCAAATATCTTGCGTTAACAAAATAGCAAACGCAAAGGAAGTGAAACATGTAAGTAAGCAAAATTAAAGGTTTTATTTATATCTAAATTAATTATTTTAGGGATAATACAAAAAATATTTGCAGACTGAGCAGCGTTAGTTAATTTTATGGAACATAATAGCGATTTGGTAAAGGGACAATTGCAGAGTTCAAATGCTAAACAACGCGCAAACAATTTGTGGACAAAACCGGCTGATGACCTCAATTCAAATGGACCTCCTGTAAGAGATAAAATGTGCATAAAATGTACATATATAAAATGTGAAACTATGTGTGCATATTTACAGGTTGTCCAAGCGATTTCAAAGCAGCGGCCACTTTTATTGGAGTGGAATAGCTGTGAATGCATTTGGAACGACGAGCGTTTAATGAATACATAAACGCATCTTTATTGAAACGAAAATTTTGTATATAAATCTATAAAAATTAAATATTTGAAAACGTCTGTCACATAATTCGTACTTCTATTTTCATACCCGTGGTCACTTAGGGAGAGTATATTTGTCTTAAAATTCATTTTTTTTAATTCGTTCATCATTTTTGTTACTAAAAAAACACTCGTACCGCACAAAAATATGTTTTGATTTACAATATTTTGATGTTTCCTTTTGTCATTCCTCGTTATTGTTTACTTTGTGGTGACAGTGGTGCCCAATTTTCGATTTAGTTTGCGAATGCGTTTGCGTGAGCGATAGAGAGTACCAAATTGAACTCTTAACGCATTTAGCTTTCGCATCGCACTTGCTTTCGCAACGCAATACAGAGTAACCCCCCTGGAGCTTGAACGGTTAGAAGGGCATAGAGCGTGGGTATTGCATGTAATGTCCAATTTCCAAAAAGAAGACACAATATAAAGTTTTTGTTTTTGTACAATCGAAGAAAAATTAAAATTTTATTTCCACACAAAAAAAAAAAAACATAGATGTATTACTTTACATTTTGTGAAACGTTCTTAGAAATTAATTACAATTTCGGTAATTTAAAATAATAATAATATAATAATGATAATAGAGTAATAATAATATAATAATACAAACGTTTTTATTTTTTATTTATTTCGTACTGCATTTGTTTTGTGTTATTATTTGGGGGATGGGTTTCTTTAAAAGTTTTTCTTTTTTTCAACAATTTAGCACAATTTAAAAAATTGTTTTTTTTTTGTTATTGTTGCTTAGACAGATGTGTATAAACATTGTGTGTGTGTTTCGAGAGGGTACAGGAAGAGGAAGGGGCCAAAAGAAGTTAATGTTTAAGTAGTATGTGTTTAGTTTTGTTGTTTTACATAGTTTCTTTTTTGTAGTTTAGAAGTAAAAACTGACTATGTTGTTGTTGTGTAAATACTTCTTAATTAAAAAAATCTTATTATATTCACAAATTAAATTACTAAAGGATGTTCTAGTAAAATTAATATAATTGTCGTTGTGTTTATTTTGTTTTAATTGTTAAAAAAAAAAACAAAAACAAAGGGGGAGGAGGGAAATGAAGGAGTTTTATTTGTGTTTTTGTATAATAATTGAGGTTAGGACACTTAGTTTTCTCGTATGTGTATGTATGCATGTGTGTGTGATTTATGATTTAGATAATTTAGCTAAGTTAAGATCTAAAAGAAAATAACCTTTTATACAATTTTAATTTTTAAATTAAAATTACAAAAAGATAACAAATGATGATGAAGTCGCTTTATATAGTTTTTTGTCTCTTTGTGGTTATGAGGATGGATTATTTAACGGTAACGTTGGCGGGGGTAACACTTCAAAACTAATTTAAATAAGAAACAATATATGTTATTGTTGTGTAATACCTTTTTAGTACAATGTGCTGTAATAGCAGAATATATATAGCTTCTAGATGTATAAAAAATACCATTAGAGAAAAAAATTGTTTGAAATTATTTGTCAAATGTTGCTTCTATTTTTTAAGTACAAATTTTTTTATTAAAGAAATAAACCAACAATTAATGTGTCATATTGATAATGAATTTATACAAAAAAATAAGAAAAAACTGCTTATTTTTTATAATATTGAAAATCTATGTGAAGGAAAAAAACGTTGCTGGCTTGCCAAAATTCCGAAGCTATGCTGCAATGTTGAAACGACCAGATTCCTTTTCTTTTTACAGAGTAGAACGATAGCCACAATGCGAAATATATTAAATCCATTTCCATCGAACATTCAATAGGCTACCTGGGAAACTAGTTTTTAAGCCATTCTTCCAATATTAACAGAAGTTCTAAAATATGTTCTATCATAAATACATACAATATTTTAATTTCTTCAAATTAAAAGAATAATAGGAAGCCTCGAAACCCTAAAGGATCGCAAAGATTTTTCTTTTCAATTTTTAGAAAGTTGCGTTTCTATTTGTAGAAAATTGAAAACACTACCTATACCCGAAACTTCATTGGATATGTCTTGAAGAATTTAAAATTTCTTTGTTATTCAGAGAACCTAAATACACAAGTTTTACACTTTTCCAAAAGGTAAGTTATTAATGGAAGACGACATCATCATGCTAGAAACATCAAATAGCTTGGTCTCTTTATAGAAGACTCCAAGAAATTTGTCCATTTATTAATTCGCAAAGCTCATTCGTTTTAGATGATTAAAGATCTTCTCAAAGGACTTATATCTTTAGAAGCTTCAAGGAAAGGCCATATATGAATGACTTCAAAATATAATCTATCAATAGTTAACATCAATAATGACCTCATGTAGTTTACAATATGTAGATTATACAGATGTCAACAAATACATTCAAAGAGCTTTATAGAAATTTCCCAAAACGTTTTCAATCTTTATATGAACCATAACGTTCAACATTTTATATTTTTTCCATTCAAGATCTGAACAAAATTATGTTCTCAAAAAGATGGAGATAGTTTTCCGGAATCCTTCCTATTTTAAAAATACCTACTGGCTTCATATTTCTGCATTCATTGTATTAGTTCAAAAATATAAAACAGTCTTCTCGTTCTATTCTTCGTAAAAGGTTTTCTTGTCGTTTGTTGTACAAGTTAACAAATTCCTTGGCTTAGACATTTGTTTTTAAAAACTCATAAGAGTAATTAATACGGTGAAGTATGTATGGAATATTAAAACATTATTATTGTGGCTTATTTCCTGTGTTGTTGTTTTTTTTTTCTATTAATATAACTATGGGGATATACTGTAATTAACTTAATCGTTTCTTTTAACTAACAAAAAAAGATTAGTAGTAGCTTGGTCTATTAAAAAAATAGTAATATAATTGCTTCATCATTATCTTCATCTGGTGGTGGTCGTGGTTTGTGTGTGGTGTATTAATTGTTATATGGTATTCGAGTTTATTTACTTCTTTTTTTATTTCGTTATGAAATATTACTTTTTTACTCTCATCATTTCAGCTCGTCTTCTAATTTAAATTATATTTGTTTAAATATTTTTTTTACTAAATAACAACAAATGCATTATTACAATGCATTGGATATAGATTTTTTGTTTACATGTCTGTCCTATAATGGGGTTTCTTAATCATCTTCTTAATTTGTTTTTGTTTGCGCTAATTTTTTAAATCGTTTAAAACGTTTTTAGTTTTCTTCTTTCAGTTTTCATCATTGGGAAACTAAATGTTAGTGATAATAATAATAATAATAATCATAGTAATAATAATATAATAAATGTTATTTGTTGCATATTGCGTGCGTTTATCGCAATAGGCTACTTATTTTTGTTTTGCACAAGGGACGACTTGTTGTTGTAGTATGTATGTAGTATTTTGTATTAAAAAAAGAAATGTGACCGAATTTCAGTCCACCCATGTAGTTTAAACTTTTGTAGGATTGTTTTGCAGTGTTGAGGATACATTTTCTTATGTTTTCTTTTGTTGTTGTTTCGTTTTCTTTCTAATGGGTTTTATTGTGTTGTTGCTGTGTAATTGTCGTTGATCTCGAGACTGGTCGACAACGTACTCGAGGTGGCAGTGTCCATGTGGTCTCTGCGGCTGGTCATAGAGATTCTTTTGATGGTACCCAAATGGTTGGACCTGATTGCGACCAAATCATTGACTTGACTTTACTGTAGATCTCTTCGATGGTATCACCTTGCACGACACCTAAAAATTAAAATAAAAACAAAATTTCATATTGAAAAAAATCAAACAATTTCATATTAAAAATAATCTATATGAAACGAATACTATAGTCTGATAAATGATATTTTTTAACGATTTGACAAAAATTACCAACATTTGTCCCTAAATTAACTAGGAGAGGAGATAAGGGTTTACAATCGTCCATATGCAAGTATGGTAAATAACAAAATTGTCATATTTGGGGTTCTGAGCAATTGAAGAGGCCATGGCATCAAAAACAAAATATGTTTTGGTCGCCATTTGGTCCGAAGGAAGGATTATACCTTTCTTCTTCGAAAACGACTGTCACTAATTCGGAGCTTTATGGTCATTTGATATTGTCACACAACTCAATATGTGTCTAAAAGGGTCGAAAATTTGCGTGAATACCATTTAAGAGTACCCCCATTCTCGATGTTAAATTTTCAAGATTTTCAGTAGGCTGGTAAATGAATACAAATGCATGTTAAGGTTTTGTTGTTGTTGTTTTTGATGATTAAAGAAAAGTCCTCATTTCTGATGGCGGGCATGATAACTCCTCACTGGAACATCGGAATTCGGAAATTCCAATGGTGTTAGAAAGAGTACTTCGCTCAAATATAATATGACAGACATTTGATTTTTTTTTTTTTTTTTTTTGCAAATTTGCATTTTATTGGCTTTAACATAGTTCATACGAGAGCTATACACTCCCAGAGAAACGTGTCAAAATTTTAAACCGATTGGATTATGGAAATTAGATAATGCATGCCCGACAATTAAAAAAACTCTGGGTTATTTGTTCTATTGATTATATCTAAAAGATTTCTCCAAAAAGTTCCATATAAATTAAAATTGGAAAGGATATGTCAACAAAATTGGCCATCGTTTAGGCAAGGTATATTAAGAAGGTAACCGTATCAAACCAGGTGATGGTAACATTAAATGTCACAACAATTTTTATATTTAAATTTGCCGTAAAAATAAATATAATTCCAAATAGAAATTGGAATCATAAAGAAATAAAGAACTAAGAACAAACAACAAACAAATATACATGTTTTTAGACATCATTGTTAATAATGGGAAAACTCTGGGAATTGTGTGAATATTTTGAACTTTTATTATTCTTTACATGAATAAGAGACATGAAGCATTATTATTGAACTTTTAAAATTTGGCATATCCTTTATTTTCCAAGGAGTTTTCTCGGTCACTCACACGACATTTTTGATTTTGTAGTCTCTTAATCCCCTTGTGATTTGGTTTTTTGGAAGAATTTTCGAAATGTGATATATAATTTTTGCCATACCATAAAAACTTACCCGTAAAGTATTCACCAAATTCTTGTTCCATTTTTACAGCACGTTCATATGTTTTCTTGGCCTGTTCTTCAGTCATACGGCGATTCATTTCCCTAAAAATATAGAAAATTTATTTAAAATTTTTCTAATTATGGTCAGATATTATTGTTAATATTGCAGGCGTACTTTATTCGTTTTGTCAACATTTTTCAATTTTATTTAATATATATTTTTTTTTAATTTTATTGATCTACAATTTGAGAATAAAAATAAATAAAATATGGGACGAGGTACATCTGATAACACCTATTATCTCTAAAACTATGAATGTTTTCTACTTTTATAAAAAGAAAATATCGGTTTATATTATTTATTTTATGTAATCATCATCATTCGTTTAGCAAATTCTTTCATTCATTAATATCGGTGGAAGACAGAAAGAAGCAAGTGAAACTTTTTGCTATGAAAAATGATGCCAAAATCAATTTTTTTCCTCCACAATTAAGATTACTTTCTCAACTTAAGTATAGCCTATAGTTAATATTTTTTATTGACTAGAAGGCCCTTTTGACAAGAACTCATGAATGCACATTCTCTCGATCTCGATTCTCAATTTTAATTGTTTTTTTATGTCAATGGTAGATGTATGATTCAACGTTGCTTTCGAAGTCATAACTATAAACATCCGAATCATTTGCATCGAAGCCATTACACATGTTGGTCATGACAGTTCAAAATCTGTGAGACAAATATATTGTTGAAGGCAACGTGGCGATATGTATCAACCATATTTCACACACACAAAACAGCCAAATGTTAATGCATATGGCGTCAGAATTCCACAAATATCTAGTGGTAATTTATATAAAGTCATGGGTCCATGTGTATATTCAACACATGTCCAATAAATATGCTATTTATCGAGAAGTAATGTAAAATACATAATATACTTGCACACACATACATAATCGTGACGACATTTCAACTGGAAAAAAAACCCCATGACGCAAGTATCGTATCTAATTAAGAATAAAATCCCTAGGTGTTATGTACGATGAACGATATGAACAATTTACTAAACATTTATGCAGCCAATTAAATACAGGAAATATAATATAGCTATCTGTGTACTTACATTATGGAATCGATTGATTTGGGTTTAATAAATATAGCAATTGGATACAATTGAGCCACTTGTAACCGTTTTATTGCATTGCCCGACACATCCAGAATACAATGTTTACCCTTTTCGGCCACCTCTCGGACACTCGCCACCGATGTGCCATACAAGTTGTCATTGTATTGGCCAGCCTCGATAAACAAATGATTTTGTATATCGTGTTCCATTTGTTCACGCGACGAGACAAAATGATAATCACGACCATCCACCTCGTAATCACGTTTCGGACGTGTGGTATCTATTAAAGAAGTTGCCAAAGGCGAAAACAATTAAAAATAGATTAAATGAAAAAAAGAGAGACAATGATTGACTTGTCTGGAGATAAGCTCCTCTCTTTTTTTATTCTCTGTTATGGTTAGAACTTACGTGGCACACATGATCCAAATTTATCTGGATATTCAGATATTAAGTCATCATTGATGCGATCCTTAAGAGGACCCAAAATAATAACGGGTCGTGTATAATTAATCGATAATCTTTGTACAGCCTCATACGACAGGACATTCTCTTCGGAAGCTGTAAATGTATAGGTGAAAAATGATTTATGCAAGGGAGCTGAAGGGAATACAAGCAGATATTTGCAAAATACTAAATGTATAGAAGATGTTTTTTCAATATTGTTTATGTTTTATATTTTTTTAAAAATAAAATAAATAAAAAAACGAAAAATTAAAATTAAAAATTAATGGTTTTCAATTTGAAATATAGTTATGATTTAAAAAAAAATGATGTATAAAATAAAATTATTAAATATTATGTTGTATATATTTTTTTGATAAGCTTTTAAGCAAATGTTTCTTTGGATGATAGTTGTTGATATAGTGGGGGGCTTTTGTTTTCTTGTTTTATTCAATTTTTAGTACGAATTGTGAGAAAATAAAAATTATAAATCAAAATAATATTAAATATAGCATGAATGATAAGTTATAAGATGATTTTTTACACTATTAGTAGGATATTGAAAGGGGGTCGAGGGGTCTTTAACAAAACTCGGTGGGGAAAAAGGTTTGGACAGAGATATAAAATTAATTTGACACGCATTTAAATCTAAATATATGGTAATAAACATTAGTGGTGTTGTATTTATTTTTATTTTTCTAAAACATTTCTATGTGGTAGGTATTTGGGTGACTAAGTGTTGTTGTATTCATTCAAAAATTGTTATATATTTTAATAGAGCAGTAGTTAGCTAATTAAGTCGTTACATTCAGAGTTTAAGACATATCAAAAAACACTAGAATTAGTTTTCATATCAATCTACAGACATCACATTATTTCAAACTACATTCAACAAAAGGGAGATGGATAATATTAGGACAAACAAAACATAATCAATTCAAAAAAGAAAATAAAAACAAACAACAAATATAATTGAAAACAAAGATACAATAATAATAAAGAAATATATTTGTATTAATATTATATGCATTTCATATATATATTATTAAAAAAAGAACAAACAAAAAATACAAAAAAGGTTACATATATATCCAAAATGTGAGAGTAATTGCTTACAAACCCATATCTTGTTTCGTGGTATAACTTACGTTTTGGTATTTAATTTTTAGATTCACATAAAAGAAAACTTATAAATAAAATTACTTGTGTTAAATATTTATTTTATTTATTTTTTTGATATAATAAATTTTTAGTAGTCGCAGCAAAAAATTTATGTCGCTAAACCCACATGTTTATATTTGTTTGTTATTAGCAAAGTATTTGTTCAAATTCAACTCAATAAATGCCTAATTATTGAATATATGAAACAAAAAATAATAATATGAAACGGAAAAAATACAACAATTTTTTAAATAAAATAATACTCAATCTGCCAATAATGAATTTCTAAAAAAAGGGGATTATTTGAGAGTGTATGTGTGTGTAGGTAGAGTGTCTTTCTAGAAATTATCCAGTCATTTATTTCAAACAAATGACATTTGGTCTGTTCCAGAACTTTTTTAATGGTAAAGCTAGTAAAAGGAAACATTTCAAAATCACTCTCAGAGTACAAAATTATTTGGAAAGTTCGGGAACACAAATCTAGTACAAATTTTTTGAGTAAAAAGTTTCCAAAGAGAATGTCATTTTATTTTGTGTTCTCTTAAATTTGGTTCAATGTCTTACCAGTTTTTGGGCGTTCAGGAACGGTTTTCGAGTAAAAAGTTGCCAAACTTGTAAAATTAGTGGATTACTTTTGGGTTCTGGAACTGAACTATTGTTATCGAGTATCAAGCATAATAATATTAAAATTGTCTCGGCTAGTTGGTCAAGAAATAAAAGCAGCAGACTTGAAATTGTAATGTAATATCGGAGGCAACATCATTACCGGCCATCAAGAAATCAAACATGAATTGATATCATTGAGGTGCAAGAATCATGGTCGTCCGACTGTGGACAGAAGACTACACAAAAGGAACGTTAGCTTTGATTGGATTCAAGAAAAGCCAAACAATGTTCGACTATGAAAAGAGTTTTCTTTGAGGTTTGCATGTACGACAATTCAAAATTAAATAATGCTGTCGTTTCGACTTGTCTGGTTGTCGGTACACCCGACATTTTTGTGTTCTACCTTGAATATATACATGCAGGATCATTCTAAATCAGTACACTTTAAATGATAACGAACACAGCTATTGAAAAGGTGGAAGAGACATCAGAAGCTCTAGGCCATCCGTCTAGATACAACCTCGACAAAAAATATTTGACAATATCTTGTTACATTTATCAAAACATCGAGATATACAGGACAAATTACATTTTTAGCAAATTTTTGATCATTTTGTGGAACAGGCATCGGACCGATAGTCTAAATCAAACTTGATCTAAGTATGAAAGTAATATTACGATTTACAAAATTTTGAAATCGACTTTAAACTACCTGAAAGAAATTTGGCCAAGCTTTTGATCGTATCCCACTCATTAGCCTTAAAGCTAAGGGTATTATTTGGTAACATGGCAAAAAACATCCGGAAGCATCAAATAACCAAAATAATTATATATCGACAATTAATTGATTTTTTACCATTTGTCCCACAATACATAAGTTTAGGAGGACGATATTAGATGGCAAATATTGTATTCCACAACGAAAAATCATTCCTGACATATTAATTTCTAACTCCCAAAGATATTTTGAAGTAAAAATCAAAATTATTTCTTGGACAAATAAAAGTAAAACTTTTAATATGCAGGACCCTTATTATTAGTGGAATAGGTGGTGATAGTGGTGGTACAGGGGACATTCAACATACAGCAGCCATATCAAACAACGAAATAAAGTTTAATTTATAACAAAAATTTAAATCAAAATTAAATTCATACACATACTAAATGAAACGAAATTAAACAAAACATGTGTATGTAAGTATGTACATTCCAGGACGGGTGGACTACAACTTGCTTTCGGAAAGTTTGGAAAGAATAGAATAGATGTAGAAAATTTAAGCCGAAACTCGCCATATTGCCATGTAACAGAAAACACATGAATGTGACCAATCAGCCAGCCAGATTTGAATACACAATGGACATTGGGTGGAGGGAGTAGATATTTTTTGTTTTATATTTGCATATATATATATTTTTTTTGTAAAACAGTGTTTCAACAACAAATAGCAGAAACTGGTCATGAATGGAATGAATGGATCGGAATGATCAACACAAAATAACAAACAAAATTAAAGATTCTTTGTGAAGAAAATTGTAACAATTATTTTTTTTGTTTTCAATTTTTTCTTAACAATTCTTAGACATATATGATTTTGTTTATATATTTTATATGATATATAGATAATTCTTTTCATTTTGATTTTCAAGACGATTTATTTATTGTTCACATAACAGTTAGGCGTTCAATCGCTGGACTTACTATAGTCAGCATCTTTATTCTCCAAATAGATCATGGTAATTTGATCGGCATCGGGTAATTCCACTCTATAGATGATTTCGTTACCTTTGTTTTTTTTACAAATTGTGTCAAATGGCAAATGTTTTGTTTTTGTTAATGTATAAATGTTGTTATTGTTGTCGTATTAGTTATAGATCAGCATTGAAGTTGGGGGAGGAGTAAGTAAGCCGTTTATAATTAGATTAGTTGTTCATAGATGTCGTAGCAGAAGAGACATGTAACAATTGATTCAAAAGAAGTAATTATTCATTTTTATTTTATTTTATGTAACAAAATGTGAAAACAACAACAGTTAGTTTGTGGCGTAGATTCATTATAATTGTTATTCATTTTTTTATAATAACATCAAACATTTGTGGCAGTATCAAAGAATTAAAAAAGTAGTGTAAAAGAAAAAAACAAAACGAAGACAAGAGAAACATAAAAACTCAATCAAACCACGGCTAATCTTATTTAAATCTAAAAAAGATATGAAAGGTATTTAGGGAAATAAAAAAATATATGTATCTATGTAGAGGGGGAGTTAGTGTGAGAAAAGTTTTTGAATAGATTTCTCACTACCTTTGCCTAAAAAAGAAAAGAATTACTAGCCATATGATATGAGTTTGAAAAATGTGATGTCGTTATATATTCTTATTTATTTTTTATAGTAAATTACAACTCAAATATCTTAAACCATATGAACGTCGTGTGTTACGTTCTGCGGTTAAATCACCGGCATTCCCTCCAAAAATAAATTAATCACATAAATAACTCAAAAAACACATCGACCCCATTGCTTTATATATAAGAACCAAAATAAATGGACCAAATATAAATGTTGGGGCATATGTTGCAAATTCTCTCGGTATTCATAGCCGATGTTGAATGCAAATAAATGGTTTATTGTCTACCACGCACATTCCTCTAGATTTACTGTATTTGATTGTATGCAGAATTGACATCTACTGTGAATTGACGTCGACTGTGAAAAATTTAATTTTTAAAGGGTAGACCCGGGTTTTCCATTCCGGCTCACATAGTACATTCACTTGCCAGACAGCAATGCAACAAGCCGTCCGATCATGTACAACGTCGTCGTGTTTTTGTCCCTCAAAAGAATGAAAAAGATATCTAATTCCATAAACAATTATATTTACTAATAATATAACGTGAGACTTTTTGATACGGTTTATGGTCCGGTGGAAGGGTTGGTTATTAGACCTAAATTTTTTCGAAAATGAGGTTGATCGAAAGTTGATAAGAATTTTGTTTTTCTGATCGAAGTTATGACTACCTTAAGTAACAAAATTGTTAATACTTTACGGGATGGTTTGTGAAACTGCAGCAGAAAAGTGTATGTCCCCTATGCGTGCTCATGGTGGCCATTTGGCTGTATTCTTAAAACACTAATATCTTATGGAGAAAAGGATATTAAATTTCGTAGTCTGGCATTTTTTATCGTAATGGAACCAGTTGGTTAACAGATGCCAGTAAAGGCATTGATGATGGGAAAATGCACACAAGCCAGATTACTACGAAAACATTTACCTGGATGACTCTGCAGCAAATTGGATACCAATTGTCCCAATTACAAAAATTCTAAACGGATATACTCGTATATGCATATACAAATCTGAAGTCAGGTTATAAAAACATACAGAAGTGATCTGATTTAAGTTTCATCTAATTTGAATAGGCCCAGCTCAGGCTTGTGACAAAAGGGCGATTCTAATAAAAAAAAATAAAATTTAGATTCAGGTAAAGTTTGTCCTATTTTGTGTACTACGAACAAACATTGTATCAAGAGGGCCAGAGTTGAAAATGCTTTTGTAATTAAATTTATAAAAACTAACGTTTTATTTATTATTAATTTTAAATATAATTATTTTCAATCGAGGTATAGAAGAAAAATGGATAGGAAAACTAATAAACAATGAGGTCAGGAACTCAGGTGATTATCCCAAACAATGTTCAATTAACATTTCGTTAGATATTCGACCTTATTATCACGTCAATAAAACATCCAAACAAAATAATAATCAATTTTTTATGTTGAATTAAAGTAAATATTAATTTTTTGTATTTTATATCTGGAGAGGATTGTTAATATAACACGAATATAAAACTAACAAAACAACAACAAAAAATAGTCAAAAATAAACGAGGCAACAAACTTTATAAACAAATAATATTTCAAATTTAATTTAAATGTTTTTAAATTTTAGTGATTATTATGCTCTTTTTATTAAACAGCAGTAGAAGTAGACGTGGTTATAATAGCCGTATTTGGAAGTACTAATACTGTTCAATTACAACAAACAAATAATAAAAAAAAACGAAAAATTAATTAAGGAATGTTCAAAGAAGACGTGTTGTTGAATGTTTACAAGTGAATGTAAGGAAGAAGACGATAAAAAAACAGAAAATAAAATAAAAACAAATTAAACTACTATTCACAAAGAAAACAAATTAAAATTCAATATAAATAAATTTTGCTAAATATTAAATTTTCTTGATAGATTGTTTTAAAAAACATAAAATAGATATTTTTACAACCATGTGAGGACAATCGTCTCGAACTTTTAGTTTTGATTTTTTTTTTCAATTATTTTTGTTAGTTGAAATAAATTGGAAAAGTTTCCGAAACTACTAATACAATATTGGCTAGTGAACGATTACCATCACATGTTGAAAAAAAAACTATAATAGAATTTTGTGGACTGGGAATATACATATATTTGTTTACATAAGTACATACCTCCTTCAGCATTGGCATCATCTTGTGTATAGCATAGCATAAAAGCTGAAATATTGAAAGAATTAAGAAAGAAGAAGAAAACACAAATAGTTGATATGTTTTGGCATTTTCATTAAATAGACAAAAACAAAAAATCAGACGAAGAAGTAGGAAAGAAAGGAAAGGACTTTCGTTTTTTTTCTTTTCTTCAATTTTAACGAATGAAACATAATGGCAGAGATGAACGAATTTCTTTTTTTATTTATCAACACGAAGTTTTTGCCATTTACGAAAGCAGTCTACAACGAGATTTTGATTTGATTGTTTGCTTGCACTACCTCTTTGTTGAATAGTGAGAAAGGCTAGAAAATAAATACTTGAGATGATCGTTGATTTTTATATTAGCAAACTTAATCTCTTAACGAGCATATTTTAGCACATGTCATTCATTTGGAAATAAATGATTTTTTTTAATTAAAAAATCTAATAATTATAAAAAGATGAAATCATTTGTAAAAGTTTTGAAATTAAACTAAAATTAAATTATAAAAAAATAATCTAATTGTATATGTGGGAAAATTAAAGTTTTGAAAAGAACCAAAAACTAATAAAAAAAAATATTATTTGTTGTTGCCAGACATAAGACAGCAGTCCAAAGTGAAATATACATTATTAAGAGAAGAGATATAAGAAGAAGAATTTGTTATTGTATTGACGATGCTATTACTGTTTTTTTTTTTTTTTAATGGAGTGTCATCAAAATTATACAGATATTTGTGTCTTTCCAAAAGAAATGCCATTATATTACAATGAAAATTTAAAGTGCCTCTATATATATATAGAACAAGCCTGAATAACTACTTATATTTTGCACATGCAGAAATTAAAAAAAAAAAATCATATTTATAAGAATTTCCTAAGACTTTAACCTTTTTATGCTGCACAGTTTTTTTTTCAACTCAATAATACTAGACAACAAATACGAATATTTTTAAATAGATTGTAAATTAAAAACAAAAAAAAAAAAACTTTAATTGGCAAGCAAAAATTCGAATGAATCGATGTATTTAATTTATTATAATTATTCTCGACGTTCCTCCAAGCTTAATCTCCGTTTAAAAAAAATCGGTCAAAATGGTTCGGGACTATGAAATGGTATAAAGTCAAAATATGGACCTATATAGACAATTTTTGCGAAGATATTTTCCCCTAAGAATAGTTGGGGTCCCCCAACTATTCTTAGTTTCAAGAAAATTTAATTTTTTGATTTGATTCGAACCTACACTAAATCAAGAATGTCCCTATAAATTTTCAAGTGAAGATCTCAACAACTCTTGAAGATATAGCCGATTTAAATTATTGTCAATTATTTTTCTTCTCTTTTAAATCTTCAAATATATATGTACTAAGTTAATACCCTTAAAAAGAACTGGTATACATTTATCAGCCCATTGAAAATTTTGAAAATCGAGTAAGTCCAAAGGTGTTTTTCGTTATAAAAAAATATTTTTTTTTATCAATTTGTTGTCTAGTATTATTAATCTAACTTAAAATTATTGGTGTGTCCATTGCGTGTGTGTGTTTGTTTGTTAAAAACGTTGTTGACCTGTAAATATATCTACATTTCTTAATGTACAAAAAGGCAGACCATATATTCCAGGAGAAAAACACTATTTTTTGACATAACCCTTAACCTTAATTTCCTTGCGATTGTGTCATTCATTCAGTTCTTACAAATAAACATGTACATATTTACATACTATCTATTTATATATAGTATTAGGTGCTATATTACTTAAGACTTATTAACAACTTACGCTGAGGTTCGGTGGAATCATTGTTGTTCAAATGATTAACATCAAGTTCACTAGTACTGGCGGCAATTCCATTAGCTTTTTTTATTTGATTTTGTTTTATTGGGAGGAGGAGGAACACAATATTTATTCAAATACCAACCAATGAACAGAGATATACATGGTTAACACACGTTGATTTTTGACGAAGACACAGTTTGTTTTGTTTTGATTTTGGATGAAGTAGAACGGACCATAGCATCAAACAGAGACAGAGAGACATGAATGTAGAGCATATGTGGAATATTTGAAAATGATGTGATAAATGTTGTTGTCATTTTTAGATGGTGTTGTGAACATATTTTTTGGACGGGACATTTTGTTTGTAATTTGTTTTCGGTAGACAGTAACAGTTGTTGTTATTTGAAACAAAAATATAAAGAAAAAAAAAAAGAACGAAAATAAATAAAACATGTTAAATAAACAAAACAAATTAAAAGACAACATAAAAATTATGTCTAAAAACAAAAAATTATATGTTTGGAAAAACACGTTAATTAATTTTTTTCAAGTGTGTGCAAAAATTATCTCGTTGAATTTGTGAGCATGTCTTTTTAAAGCACAGTTTGTTTGATCTTAAATGAAATTGTTTTTATTTATTTTTTTTTTTTTTTGTTTAAATACCGTGTGGTGTTTTTTTTACATTATTTTGTCTGCAATACTGCTTTCATTATTATGCATACGATATTATTTTCTATTATTGCCGCTGAGTTAGTTTTGTATAAAAATGATTATTGAAATTTGTCGTTTATACTTACGCTCTTGATCACTACCATCTTCATTTCGTTCATCACGACTCTTCATAAAAGGAAATTTGCGCGAAAATGTAAAATTTTTCTTTTTTCTATCCAGTGTAGATTGCTGAAAACAAACACACACACATGAATGAATGAATGATTTAGTATATTGCTTTCGTCTAATATATATATATATTTTTTTGCCTTACCTTATCTATGTTATTATTTGCACTAACTGCTTGACCTTGAAATTTAACACTACGATCTCGAGCCCGCATCTTCCTCTCCCATCGCCGTTTCGATGGTACAATACCAATTTGATCGTCTTCATTGTCGCCCAGAACACGACGTGCCTGCCACCATTCATCATCGGAGGCATTTGTTACATGTAAAATATCACCATGCCGAAATGGTAGGCCTCGCGACGGCAGACCATCATCACGATTTGGATCGTAATCGAATAAAGCACGAACATACAATGAACGTTTTTGTGTTGTGCGCAGCAGTGTGCCGGTACTGCCAGCAGATAAGGCGGCTTGTTGCTTCAGTTCTTGAATGCGAGCTTCAAAACGATTATAGTCTTCGGGTCGGTATTGGGCCAACAATGTAACAACACCACCAGATTTCTAGTAAACAAAAATAATTGTGTGAAGGAATCATCATGTGAGAAAATTGACCATCTTAATTGTTGGGGATTACCCACCTTCAATGCTAAGGCGGCTTCTTCATGGGTGGCATTCCTTAAATCAATATCATTACAGCTTAACAATTGATCACCACGTTTTAGCTCGCCACCCAAATCAGCTGGTCCACCAGCCAATACAAATGAGACATAAATGCCTTGGCCATCTTCACCGCCCACAATGTTAAAGCCCAAACCTTGTGGTCCTTTTTGTATGGTAATTGTGCGTGGCTCCCTGCAAACAGACATTGCAAAGATGATCATTAGAGGATTAGTGGCGTTATGACAAATTCGATTCGACAGACAACACTTTGAGCACTACACCACAACAAATACAATGTCATAGTATTATTATTATTTTTGCTTAAACATGTAATGGGGAAAACAACAATAAAAACACGTCACTTGGACGGTGGTGGTGGTGGTGGTTTTCTTATGACGATCACGTAGATTATTCACCAACGTACGTAGTAGTAAACGCATTGCCTGTGGAATGTGTTATTGTCTCAGCCGCCAGCAGTTGTCTTGTTGTTGCTATCGTTTCTGCTATTGTTATGGGCTGATTTGGCAATTGTTGTTGTTGTTGCTGCTGCTGTTGGAGGTGGTTTTGTTGATGATGTTTTTGGAGCTCTTTGCAAACAGGCCTCAATAATAAAGGTCTGCGTAAATTCACAATACGTTCATCCAAATTTAGTAATTGCAATTGGAGACAGCTCATTGTTTACTACAATTCCAAAACGACAAAACACACAAAATCAAAAAAAAAAAAATGTATGTAAGCATAGCACTCTGAGTTGCCGGAGAGGAAACGGTCTACGTTTGGATGTGGGTAGGGTTTGATCGGTCGGCCACTTTCAACCAGCCAACTGCAGCAGCTGCTTTAACGTTTTATATATTTCTCCACCGTTTTTTTAATTAATTCACAAAAAAGGAATTTCTACTTGGTTTGCCAAAACATTGACATTTTCGAAAATATTTGCAAAAAAGAAGCGTAACACAGCGAACCATACACGGGAGAAATCACTTCTTAACACCACACATTCACTGCAGGAGATATATTTAACTAAAACACCACAAATTTATGATTTCTGCAGAGAGTTTTAAAGAATATATTTTTTGCACGTGTCTCTTGTTTTGTGTTGTGGATTTTTTTCGGATAAAACAACTTTGATAACAACGAATACGAGAAGAAGCCAGCAAGAGATTGTGAAGGATTGTACGCAAAATTCCATTCTGCATTTCTCTAGATGAATTCCAAATGTTTTATTTTCGGTTAGTAGTAAGTAGTAGTAGCTGCTATCATCTACAGCTAATATCATAACATATCTACCAACTAGCAGAAAAAAATTTTTATCTTTGTATCTAATCAAAAAATAAATAGAAACCATGACATTTCTCATTTAACAGTATAAAAAGTGATAAGCTTATAGGAGAAACCTAACTTTAATATACCCTACACATTATTTAATACAATTTGCATACAATATATATTTATTTATAAAAGAAAAACATGGAAATCCGATTGATCAATTCTATGCTGCCGGACCATCTGATAGTTATTAATAAGACACTGGTTAAGAATCGTTTGAATTTGCAGTCGTTTATTCTTTGATTGTGGCCATAGATTCTATGGCGGCTAATTTGATATTTCACCCGAGTTAGGAGGGCAATTAGCATATCTCTTGAAAGCTGCATAGTCATAGATTTCAATGTCAGCTCCGGACAACTATTTTCAAAAATTATGAGTCGAGACATTTCTCATTTAACAGTATAAAAAGTGATAAGCTTATAGGAGAAACCTAACTTTAATATACCCTACACATTATTTAATACAATTTGCATACAATATATATTTATTTATAAAAGAAAAACATGGAAATCCGATTGATCAATTCTATGCTGCCGGACCATCTGATAGTTATCAATAAGACACTGGTTAAGAATCGTTTGAATTTGCAGTCGTTTATTCTTTGATTGTGGCCATAGATTCTATGGCGGCTAATTTGATATTTCACCCGAGTTAGGAGGGCAATTAGCATATCTCTTGAAAGCTGCATAGTCATAGATTTCAATGTCAGCTCCGGACAACTATTTTCAAAAATTATGAGTCGCTTTAAAATATATTGTGGAAAAACCGACAACTCTGAGATCAAGGAGTAGGTCATATAACCATCTACTTCGGATGCAAAATACTTGGACTTGGATCAGAACCATAAAACTCAAACCGTTTTCCAATTAAATAACGTAAAACCCAGTATTGAAATTGACCCGAAATCTTACCAACATTAATCATCATTTTCATTAAACATCTACACGCACACACCTATATTATTTTATAGCAAAAAATAAAAGTCGAATGTTTCCCTTTTAGGCTCACATACGCTATAGTATATCGTCACATCATCAACCTATATGAATACATCATAACATACATGGTTTATGTTTAAATAGATTTTAGTCACGATTCTTGTTTTTCTTCTTATATACCACAACAAAAAAATACACTTAGTATATATTTGCAAACTCACCTTGTTATGTCCTCGGTGCTAACAGCTCGTGGCGTGCCTGGAGGCACTGTGGCCAATACATTTGATGATGCATACCTAGATCCTGGTTGTTCTATAAGTAGTAGTTGTGTGTGTTTTTGTTGTTTTTGTACAAAAAACATTTCAAATAAAAAAGCGTTCGAAAGAAAAAAACACCCAAATTTTTATGGGGAAAAGGAAATACAAGAAAACAAAAATTAAACATTAGTGGCATTAGAGAAGAAGCAAAGGTTATTGGATGTATTTGTTTCGGATTTGCTTTTTTGTAGAATTTTATTTTTATTTTCATATTTGTTGTAGTGGTAGGTTGGTTTTTCAGAAGCCAGTTGAGTGAGGAAACATTTTTTTGGAAAACATTTCATTTTCATTTTCTTTTGATTAGAATTTAGATTCTGAGAGTTGATTATAGAATAAAGAAAAAAGGAAAGTAAAAAAACGGTCAAGAAAAACAGAGGAAAAAACACACCACTCTTGTATGCAGCAGTAGTAGTTGATGTTCTTATTATTGCAGCAGTAGGACATGCAAACATTTACGAACACATACGACACACAAACGCACGAAAGAAAAACAAAATTCAAATTAACTTCAATGTAAGTAAATAAAAAAAAGAAACGGACAAATTTTAAGCCAAAAAACGTGCAGCAGTTTCATTGCTCATTTCGAGATTTAAGCACTTAACAAAAAAAAAAAATAATAAATCAGAACGAAGCTGTCAGTCAGCAGCATGCAGACCTTATTTTGTATAAATGTTCATACAACATGCAAATATATTCTCAAATAATTATTATATGACTCTAATATGTGAACGAACGCAAGTACGAAATCCAATACTCTACTACTTCAAATAATAATAATAAAGAAAATACATATGTATTTATTTGTAATTTGTTTCACTTTTTCATGTTGTCCACAAGCATACAAGTGTAGCGATGATAGTTTTCTTAGGTTTAGTTTGATTCGATAGTTTGAAAAGGAGATTGATTGGAGAGGGCCATATGGGGATATTTAAATGGGACATTTCTTTCCTTTCAACATAAAACGGGGTTTCTTCATTGGGAAAATGGGATATGATTGATCGATCGATTGATTAATTGTTTGTTTGATTGGGGGTTATTGCAAATCATAATGAAACAAAAACAATTCGAAATGAGGAGAGATTGAAAAACAAAGCTTACGAGGCAAAGGTGACTGGGAGCGAGATGTTGATGGAATTATTTCAGCAACGGCTGGGGAAGATGCATGGTGGTGGTGCTGATTGCTATGGTTAATTGTAGCTGTTGTTGTTGGCATAGCGTTTGTGTTGTTGTTGTTGTTCGTGTATGGTGTGGTGGAAGATGAGCGAGCATAATCAACAACTGTTTGCCCTATAGTATTAATCGCACCTGTTGAATGCGAATTCACTTGATTAATATGATGTCCCGCCGCTGCTGGTGGTAGACTGTGTGCAGTTTTGCCCACAACCAAAGTGACTTTATCGACTACCGATTTCAATGTGGCCACCGCCTGCTCATGGGTAACGTTCTCTAGATTTTTGTCCACCTGTGGAACACGACAACAGATTAATAAAATTATAATGATATCCACAGAAAGATTTGTACACTTACCCCATTGGCTTTTACAGCAATCAATTTATCGCCTATCGATAAACGACCATCAACAGCAGCCGCTCCGCCATCCATAATTTTCGTTACATAGATACCATTGTCGCCTGGTATATGCTGATTACCAATGCCACCGGCTATGGAGAAACCCAAACCCTTATTACCTTTAACCAAATCAATTTCCAATACTTTCGGTCCCGTATCTTCAACATGAGCTGGCGTGGCCATTTGACTGGGATCATCTATGAGTGTACCACCACCGGTACGTTTTCTTTTTACATGTAGTTTGACTACATTGCCGGCCTTTTTCAAAGCTTCTACCGCGGCGGCATGCGGCACATCCACCACCGAAACGTCATTTACCGATACAATGATATCGTTAACGCCCAATCGACCATCAGCTGCAGCAGCACCACCCGGTATTAGTTTGGTAATATAGATTGAAGAATCGGTGCCAATGTGAGGATTATCTGTACCACCGGCTATGGAAAAACCAAGACCGGAATTTCCACGTTCTAACGTAATATCCTCATATATCCAACTTTCATCGCCATTCACCTGAAAATTGGAAAGTTAAATAAACGGAGAATTAGTAAAAGTAAATAGTAGACAAGAATAAGAACACACACATATGGTACATATTTTAATTGAAACAATCAGCTGCTAGTAAAGACAAAACAACAAACATATAGATTGCTAAAAAAACACAATATTATGAGCCACCACTTTCATTCATGTAATATATTTTGCATGAAATTTTTTTCGACGGGAAGGGGGAGATTAAAGGACACATTTTGCACACATGACGAATTGTTACAAAACACACAAATGATAGGATTTTTTTCTGCTGTTAATGTGATGATGTCGATAGCTCATTTGCGAATACAGATTCCAACGATTCTTACCTTATTTGTTGAAGTCCGATGAACCTAGAATATGGTGTTAACACATAAAAATAAATTTAAAATAAAACACAAATTAAAATTCAACTTAAAGCAAACAAAAGAAAAAAATTGAAAAAAGATGGAACTAGAAAAAAAGTAATCTACATGCTGCACAAAATTAATAGTACCATTCATGTATTAAGAAAAGAATTTAATTCTGTGGAATATTCCTGAAAGATTAGTATTCTTTTTTTAACAAACCACTTAAACCTGCCAAGAAAATAAAGGTCTGTTTTTGTTTGACTCCTGACAAATTATGGCCAATGATAGTAACATTATTACAGTACAGAGAAGACGTTGCTCGAAATGGTTGGTATACAAAATTGTCTACGGAAGAGCAAGTGACACTATTCAGATATCTCAATGTTGCAAAGGATTGTGAAGGTCTGATTCACTGCAGTTCCGTTATATATCTGTGTTGAAGTCTTGAAGAACTTTTATTGAAGTTAATCACAGTCAGAAATTAGGCTGCGGTGTAGACCATTTTGGCATTGTGTCAGACACAAACCCTAAGACCTCGTACTGATATTTTCTTATAATTTTTATAGATGCAGTCTTTTTTTAACATAGTCACCAAATTTTGGTACCAAACGATCTTATTTAAACGAATGATGACTTTTTATTATAAAGGTTTAAAGGTATTTTTATATTCAAAGAACGAAGAAAGCCAGATTTTCATTTGAAGCTTAAAAATATATATTGGATGGGCTTTACATTATATTTCTTAAAAATTCACTCCCAAGATACTGGATGGGCTTTGAAAAAATTCTTTAAAAATCAACGCCTAGAGTTGTGGATGGGCTTTAAGTTATATTCCTTAAAAACCCACTCCTAGGATATTGGATGAACTTCAAAAAATATTCTTTCAAAATCCGCGCCTAGGCCACAGAAGTGCTTTAAAAAACATTATTTCAAAATCCATGCCTAGGCTACAAAAGTACTATAAAAAAAAACATTATTTAAAAATCCACGCCTAGGCCGCAGAAGTGCTTGAAAAATATTCTTTAAAAATCCATGCCTAGGCCTTGGATGATGCTTGAAAAATATTTGAACGGAGTCAATTCTGAAATTTGTAGATGCTTAAACTCGATATTTCCACCTGATTTCTATGATATTTTTCCAATTCTTCATACGTAGTGGGAATAAAATTTCGATATTAGATTCCTCATTAAATATATGGTAGGATACGTTCATGTAGATCCAGTGTGTCAACTTTGGTTAACAGCTTTCATATCCATGTCAGAGTTAACAATTGGTTTTCTTTTTTTTAAAGACTGGTCATTTGGACTTTTTACAGTCAGTCTATCATCGCATCCTCTGGCCTCTGACATACTTTTGGATATATGATAATCATAGATAGTTTTGGAAAAGATTGATACGATATGTTACATCTTGACTTGATTGAAGTCGATAAAAATCGTACAATTACAGTGTTTTATAGTATGATTCCGTATATTAACATTTATGTTCTGGTTCCGTAGTAAAAAGTAGTAGAACCTTTTTCTTTCTTTTTTCTATGATATCGAAGAAAATATTGTAAAATCTAGTAGATTCTTGCAGAACGGGAACAGACCATTAGTTGTAAATTTTAAGTTCTTAATTTGGTATTACAGCGAGCAAATTGAAAGACGACTATGAAAAGGTAGTTTTTTCAGTATTCTCGCTAGTGAATTGCTGTTATTTAAAAATCCTTATTTCCTATAATTTTTCCTGTTCAATTTCGGAACATGGGTTCCATATTAAATTGCATTACTATGTCCTTCATTGAAATGTGAGTGTCAGTGGTATACACATTTATTCCTCGGAATACACAACCATATGCCTCCACACCACTAGAAGTGTTCAAGTGCTCTTGAGTACTTAATACGATTTTTTACACAAATTTTAGATTTATGATCTTAAATGTTATGCCTATTCAAAGAACAAAAACGAAAACATATGTTTCAGACAAGCTGTCCCACTCAAGAGAAGAGAAGACAAAGTGTTTTATTTTGAATTCCTGTTTCAAATCCAAAAGGTGAGTAATTCCAATATGATTAAATCTTGAGATCATCAGTTTGGCGTCTGCTATGGACAGTGTGATTTATATTTATACCCTTCACCACACTGTGGTACAGGGTATTATGTCTTTGTGCATATGTTTGTAACAGGCAAAAATAATCGAGATAGACCCATGGTTCCTTTTGAGAATATGCATAGAATCACTTTCTGAGTCGATTTATGCATGTCCGTCCGTCCGTCCGTCTGTCCGTCTGTCCGTCTGTAGATGTTAAATTGTAAACAAAGTACAGGTCGCATTTATGATCCGAATTGGATGAAATTTGGCACACCTCATTTGTTTGGCCCAAGGACGAACCCTATTGAAATTGGGAAAAATCGGTTCAGATTTAGATATAGCTCCCATATATATTTTCGTCCGATTTAATGTAAACGGTCCCTATATATCTTTCGATTTGCATGAAAATTGGCACAGCGTAATGAATTAGGTCTAGAATGATGTGTGTAAAATTTCATAAAAATCGGTTCAGATTTAGATATAGCTCCCATATATATCTTCGTCCGATTTAAGGTAAATTGTGTACCAAAGCCCCTATATATCTTTCGATTTGCACGAAATTTGGCACAGCGTAAAGAATTAGGTCTAGAATGATGTGTGTAAAATTTCATAAAAATCGGTTCAGATTTAGATATAGCTCCCATATATATCTTCGTCCGATTTAAGGTAAATTGTGTACCAAAGCCCCTATATATCTTTCGATTTGCACGAAATTTGACACAGCGTAATGAATAAGGTCTAGAATGATGTGTGCAAAGTTTCGTGAAAATCGATTCAGATTTAGATATAGCTCCCATATATATCTTCGTCCGATTTAAGGTAAATTGTGTACCAAAGTCCCTAAGTATCTTTCGATTTGCACGAAATTTAGCACAGCGTAATGAATAAGGTCTAGAATGATGTATGCCAAGTTTCGTGAAAATCGGTTCAGATTTAGATATAGCTCACATATATATATATATATATAGTTCCTATATATAGCTTCGCCCGATTTTAGGTAAAAAGTCCACTAAAGTCCCTGGAAATCTTTTGGTATAGCGTACTGAATTAAGTCTAGAATGATGTGTGCAAAGTTTCGTGACAATCGGTTCAGATTTAGATATAGCTCCCATATATATTTTCATCCGATTTAAGGTAATTGGTGTATCAAAGACCCTATATATCTTTCGATTTGCACGAAATTGGGCATAGCGTACTGGCATTTGGGTCTATAATAATTTGTGCTAAGTTTCATGAAAATCGGTTCAGATTTAGATATAGCTCCCATATATATTTTTGCTCGATTGTAGGTAATTGGTGCACCAAAGTCCCTGGAAATCTTTTCATTTGCACGAATTTTGGCATAGCGTACTGAATTAAGTCTAGAATTATGTGGCAAAGTTTCGTGAAAATCGGTTCAGATTTAGATATAGCTCCCATATATATTTTCGTCCGATTTTATGTAATTGGTGCACCAAAGTCCCTATATATTTTTCGATTTGCACGAATTTTGGTATAGGGTACGTTGGCCAGCTAAGTACTTTGCTTTGTTACAAGAGACATTTGGGTTTGAAAGTTTTTTTGTATAGAAGCAATAGCTTCTGGGGAGAATATCACAAAAAAAAAAAAAACTAAGGGAACTTATGAGGATCAGTGGCGTGATCCGAAACTATAGTCTTCCCTGCCTTACCCCTCGGCAATCAATGCCATACATTCCCCACTAGTAGATAGTTGTTTTTTATAAAAACAAAATACAAATGGTATCCCAAATAAACCGCCAACACTACTGAAGTACTAAAGTAAGTATAAAATGATGTTGCTAAGCTGCGTGAAAAGATCCATAGCAAGGCCGAATGACACAACGTACTGAAGTAATATAAATTAGTCTCTGGCAATTTTCCCTGAAATCGGTTCAGATATAGATATATAACAAAATCGCGTCGTCTGTTGGGATACATATGTAGAATATACCCAAAGTGGTGAAGGGTATCATATAGTCGGCCCAGCCCGACTTTACTACTTTCCTTACTGGTTTTCATAATATTTTCTTCTTCTTCTTCCGACGTATGTTACCATATGACAATTCCACCATAATTGGGGTGGAATTTAAAGTGCCATGAGTCAATAAGTCTATGTTGCCATCTTCACGGGTATAATGTTATTTCTCACTGGTAAGTATCTTTAGGGTATTTTGTTTGTTCTTAGATTTTGATGTCTGTTTCTTGTAGAATTTCCACAAAGAGTAGTAAGCTTTTATGTAGTTTTTCTTCAGTAGAATATCGATTTTTGGTCGTGGAATGTCTATAATGCGTAATTTTTGAAGTAATGAAAGTCTGGTCTTTGAGTCGATATCTGGGCAATTAAAAATTATGTGGTCCATAGGGTGTATGGCTCCATAGTCACACCTGTCTGAGCTGGTAATGTTAATTTTGTGAAGATGATGTCGCATCTGATTATGCCAAAAAATTTAATCTTGGTTGTCACAACTCCTCGGTGTATTTTTATGTTTTAAAACCAAGGGTGACAGTTGACTCTCGGTGAGAAAGTGAAGAAACGTCTGCCAAATATACTCGCATTCC